CTTCATAAATGCAAATTCAACAACGGCAACAACAACAACAACAACAACAACAACAACAACAACAACAACAGCAACCATCATCATTGTAAGACTGTTCGCCCTTATCTGTTCGAGTGTCAAATAACGCGTATGGCCCAAATTCTCGATACCCGCCCTTTTTGTCTTCGATCGAGCCCCTTTTGGGGGGTAGACCCTTCTTCCCTGCAGGCCGGGCCCTGGCAAGCGGCGGGGCGGCCGCGGACCGTCCGTCGGCCTGGCCAGCGGCAGCGCTGATCGGCGAGGCGGCCGCAGACCGTCGACCCAACCCCAAGAGGGACGGACAGGGGGACAGTGGACCGACGACGACGTCGACGACGACGGCGACGACGACGACGACGACGGCGACGACGACGACGAGCGAAAGCGAGAGCGAGAGAGAACGTCAGCAGGGCCACAAGGACACGAAGTAGGCCACGAAGGGCGACAGCGGGGACAAGAAGGGAATGCGTATTGGGCCACGAAGAGCGCGAACAAGCGGGGGTCACGAAGGGCAGATAATGCGGGGCCACAGAGTGCAACCACGGGGCCACTGAGGGTAGCAACTGGGACACGTAGGACAGTGAGGGGGCCACAAACGGCGACAGCCGGGCCACGAAGGGCATGCACATGGGGCCACAACGGGCGCGAACGAGCGGGGGCCACGAAGGGCATACGTATATTGGGCCGCGGAGGGCAAGGACGGGGCCACTGAGGGCAGCAACGGGGCCACGAAGGGCAGCGAGGGGGCCACGAAGGGCGACAGCGGGGCCACGAAGGGCATGCATATGGGGCCACCACGGGCGCGAACGAGCGGTGGCCACGAAGGGCATACATACATGGGGCCACGAAGGGCAGCGAGGGGGCCACGAAGGGCAGAGAGGGGGCCACGAAGGGCAGCAACGGGGCCACGAAGGGCTGCGACGGGGCCAAGAAGGGCAGCGAGGAGGCCACAAAGGGCTGCAACGGGGCCACGAAGGGCAGCGAGGGGGCCACGAAGGGCTGCAACGGGGCCACGAATGGCAGCGAGGAGGCCACGAGGGGCTGCAACGGGGCCACGAAGGGCAGCGAAGGGGCCACGAAGGGCTGCAACGGAGCCACGAAAGAAAGCGAGGGGGCCACGAAGGGCTGCAACGGAGCCACGAAGGGCAGCGAGATCCCGATTCCTAGGTAATCTGTGAGGGAGTCCTAAACGTGAGCGCGACTCCTGGGTGCCAAGGTGTCGGGAGCGCGGCGCTTGAGTAAATTGCGGGACATTCAAACGCAAGGGCGCTATTCCTTAGTAAATTGCAAGCAAGTCTACAGCGAGAGCGCGACTCCAGAGCGCCGAGAGAGCGATTCCTGTATAAATTGTAAGGAAGTCCCAAGCGAGAGCGCGATTCGTGCATAAAATGCGAGGAAGTCTTAGGCGGGAGCGGGGGTCTGGGCTAAATTGTTAGGAAAACTCAGGCGGTAGCCGTTTTTGTTGTAACCCGAGAGCCAAGGGCCCAGTTTGAGCCTCAAGACTTTCCCTTATGAAATACAGGGTGCGAGCGTCGAGGGGCACACCTTGATTGAGAAAAACAGTATGCACCGGTGGAGGGGATCAACAAGAATTCTTCTCCAGAAATGAAATCTCAACAACAACAACAACAACAACAACAACAACAACAACAATCAATGTACCCTCATGCGCGATGTTTCCACACGAGGCAAGCGACCATCATGATTATCATCCCCATCATGGGGGACTATTGTTCTATAGCAGGGTCCGTTATTCCCATTCCCAGATCTCCCGCCAAATGAGGTCTTGCAAAAACCCGAAGAATTTGAACAGATCCCGCCTCGAAAACGCATGCCCGCGCATTGCTGCGCCGATGCGAGACCGCCAGTGAAGCCCCAGCCAAGGGCAAAACACAAGGAAGTATCGAGCGACAGGATTGCCTTGGTGGGGCTGGGGGCTGTCGGCGGCGAGACAAGGACCTGGCCCTGAATAGAAAGGGAGGAAGTCTCAAGCAGGGCCGCTGTTGTTGCTGTGAGCGGCGCCTATGCTGAAGAGAGGCGCTAGTCCAGCGTAAAACGAAAAGAAGTCTCGAGCGGGAACGCTGGTTTTGTTGGGACGGCGGTTGTCGGCGGCGAGGTGGAGCACCCTTTTGAGTAAGAAGGGAAAAAATCTCGAGCGGGAGCCGTGGTTTTGACGGGACGGGGGCTGTCGGCGGCGAGGAACAGCACCGTCGTGAGGAAAAAGGGAGGAAGCATCGGTTGTTCTTGCTGGGAGCAGCGCCAATTCAAAAGAGAGTAGGGCGCCAGTCCAGCGTAAAACGGGAGGAAGTCTCGGGCGGGAGCGCTGTTTTTGTCGGGACGGCCGTTTTCGGCGGCGAGGAGGAGGACCGCCTTGAGTAAAAAAGGGAGGAAGTCTCGAGCGGAAGCGTTGTTGTTGCTGGGGACGGCGCCGATGAGAGAAAGAATACCGCGCCAATCCAAGGTATAACGGGAGGAGGTCTCGAGCGGTAGCGCTGGTTTTGTTGGGAAGGCGGCTTTCGGCGGCGAGCAAGAGCAGCGGCTTTGAGAAACTAAATTATCCCAGTGCAACCCTACCTTTGAGTTGGAGCATATGTGCTATGTTATGCTATGCGTTGCTATGCTGCGCTATGTTATGCTATGCTATGCTAGGGTACGCTCGGCTGCGCTGTGTTATGCTAGGCCATGATATGCTATAATATGATGCGCTATGCTATGCTATGAATGTGATGATATGATATGCTGCGCTATGCTATGGTATGCTAGGCTGCGGCATGATATGATATGATGCGCTATGCTATGCTATGCTATGATATGCGATGGTAAGGTGCGCTATGCGATGCTATGCTATGCTACACTGCGCTATGATATGCTATGCTATGCTGCGCTGTGCTATGCTAAGCAATGTCATGCTATGCTATGACATGATATGCGATGGTATGTTGCGCTATGCGATGCTATGCTATGCTATGCTGTGCTATGACATGCTATGCTATGCTGCGCTGTGCTATGCTAAGCAATGCCATGCTATGCTATGCTATGCTGTGCTAATGCTGCGTTGCGCTATGCTGCGCTGCGCTAAGCTAAGCTAAGGTACGCTAAGCTATGCTAAGCTAAGCTTAGCCAGGCTAGGCTAAGCTAAGCTAAGCTAAGCTAAGCCAAGCTAAGCTAAGCTAAGCTGAGCTAAGTTAAGCTAAGCTAAGCTAAGCTAGGCTAGGCTAAGCTAAGCTAAGCTAAGCTAAGCTAGGCTAGGCTAGGCTAGGCTAAGCTAAGCTAAGCTAAGCTAAGATGAGATAAGCAAAGCTAAGCTAAGGGGGCGCAAACTAACTGGGGGAACCGCGGGGCGGATACCGGGGGACCGCCCGGGGCGATTTCCACTGCACGGCCCCTTTAAGAAAGAGAGTAAGAACCCTTCTAGGCAGAGCCTAGGTAGGGGGAAAAAAAACGCAAATCTCGAGCGGAGCGTTGTGGTTGTTGGGGGGTCGGTTGTGGCGCCCCCCAAAACTGCTCGAGCGTGAAGCCTCATTTTCAATGAACATTAAAATATAGCCGGCGCCGCGGCGAGAGCGCCAAAGCGCCTGGAGGGTCCAACAATAATAATCATAATTGTTGAATCATCAACCTACAACAACAGCAGCAGCAACAGCAGCAGCAACAGCAGCAGTTGGAGCAACAGCAACAGCAGCAACAACAACAACAACTCCCGCCGAATACTTCCTCAAAATGTATTCCCAAAGCGCGCTCCGGAGACTTCCTCACAAGTTACGCAGGAATCGTGCCCTCGCGTAAAAGTTCCTCGCAATTTATTCAGACGCAGGGCCCTCAACACTCAGAAATCGCGCTCTCGAATTGGCCTTTCTCACGATTTACTTCGGAATCGCACTATCGCTCGAGCACTCCTCGCGATTCATGCGATATTCACTCTTCAGCAACACGCCTGCTCGACCTGGTCGCTTGGGCCTGCCCTCCCGACCCGCCCGTTAGGCTCTAACCACCCGATGGGCCCGTCTGGTTCTGCGTGTTTTCTGCTCCTAGCCCCCCTCCTGCTAATCCCGTGTTCCATCCTTCTCCCTCCCCCTTCCGTCCGTCCTCTCTTCGCCTGTTTCTGGGGCTGCACCAATTACACGCGGCAGGTAAAGAAGATATACCCCCAGGGAGGTACGATAGAAGACGGCGAGAGCGGGTACCGAGGGTTTGTGATATACGGGCTGGATGGCACGCGAGCAGGTAAGAGCGAAGAGTCTTAAAGTGATTGTTGGTGCTGGTGGTGTTTGTGATGGTGTCGGTGCTGTTGTTGGTGGTGTTGGTGTTGACGTTGGCGTTGTCGTTGTCGTTGTTGTCGCCGTTGTTGTTGTTGATGATGTTGATGCTGTTGGTCGTGTTGCCGATGTCAGTGTTGCTGTGCTGCTGCTGTTGTTCGTGTTGATGGTGCTGGTGTTGTTGGTGGTACGTTGGTGGTGTTGTTGTTTGTTTGGGGGAGCGCCCGGGGGCCGTGGCCCGTCCCTGCTCAACAGCAACAGCAGCAGCAACAACAGCAACAGCAACAGCAACAATAAAAACAACAAAAAACACAACAACGGCACCGAAACACAACAACAACGACAACAACAACAACACAATAACAACAGCAACAGCAACAGCAACAACAGCAACAACAACAGCAACAAGAACAACAACCACAACCACAACAACAACAGCATCATCAAAAAACACAACAACAACAACAACAACAACAACAACAACAACAACAACAACAACAACAACAACAACAACAACAACACCGACAACAACAACAACAACAACAACAACAACAACAACAACAACAACACCAACAACAACAACAACAAACACACACACACACACACACACGCACACCTACGCACACACATGCACTGCCCCCTCGACCATATTCCCCCCTCCTCTCCCCCGTCCCCACCCTCGTCCTTGCCGTGCTCCCCGCAGCGGCAGGGCAGCTCGTGGCCCACCTCGTGGAAGCTCATCTTGGCCGCCTCCAGGTTGGACTGCGCGCTCAGGAACCCACGCGAGGTGCGGTCCCGGCCTTTGCTGACCTCCGGGGGGCGTACGGGCTGCGGAGGAGGAGGCGCGGGAGAAGGGAACCGCCATCGACCCTCCAAAGAGAACAACTTCGGAGTTCTGAATTCGCCACCGACCCCTGGCACGTTGAGACGCGTTCAAACCTGATCGGACAAGAACGGGAAGCGCCGATGTCGTCCATTAGGCTCGTCGGGGGAAAAGAAGACAAGGATGATGGCGGCGACAAGGCGGCGGATGTCGAGGATGGCAGCGTGGACGACGGGGAGGGCAGCGAGGGGAGCAGAAGGAAGGCAAGCACGAGGACGAGCAGGAAGAGATGGAGGAGGACGAGTACGAGGAGGAACGAAGCGGAGGAGAAGGAGGTGGAGGAGGAGGAGAAGGAGGAGGCGGAGAAGAAGAAGGACTACGACGGAGACGAAGAAGAAGAAGGATGGTAAGGAGCCCGACGAAAAGGACGTCCAAGAAGAGAGGGGTCCTCGTGATCTTTTGGGGCTAACCTGGGGGCTATTGGGGCCGTCGGGGGCTATCTTGGGGCATCCTGGAGGCCTCTTGGGGGCCCGTCGGGGTCCTCTTGGGGGCTACTGTGGTCTTCTTGGGCTGTCTGGGCATGTCTTAGGGTTCTGTGGGGGCTCTCTCAGGCCATCTTGGCGCCGCCTTGGGCTGTCTTGGGCCGTCTTGGGGCACTCTTGGGTAGTCCCGGGGCTTTTCGGGCGCTCTTGGGGGCCTCCGGGTGCCTCTTGGTGGCCCCCTGGGGGTCCTTCGGGAGCTCTCCTGGGTAGTTTTGAAGCCCTCCGGGAGCAATTCCACGATAATGCTGATTCGGAGTCCTCTCCAGAGCCAATGGATCGAAGATGTCTCGAGCGAAACGGCCGTTCTCCCGTCATCCGCCAGCGAATTGTCCAGTGCAGCCCACATCCTTCAGTTAGAGATTGCTCATACCCCAAAACCAA